CAACAGACAAGGTAATAACACAGTTTTGTTAGTTATTACCACAGAAGAAATCCCGAGGGACACACCCATATGTGAAGGTCGAGAACACTCTTCGCCTCGCTCAGGGATGTAAATCACCGATTTTGGTCTCACTTGAGGGAATTGAGGATGAAGCAATGACGGCATTTCTTTCGTCGAGGTATCTTTTAGAGTTGCACTCGGAGAAATGATAGAAACGAGTTATCTTTTAGGGGCCAAATAAACCTCGAGCCGTGCCCGAATTGGTCTCTTTTAGGGTTTAATTCAAATGTTCCGACGAAAATTCCCGACTTTTTTTACATGGAAGTCCACCGCCTGGGGCAAGAAATGTTCATAGCCAACATTGGCCCCGCGTGATCAGAAATTCCTTAGAGTAAAAATCCACGCCACCATCTAACGACAACGATCTGCTGCATCAAATTGCGCGTTCTAAATTAAAATACGGTAACGAGTTTGCACAAATACGTGAAAAGGTGTCTGGAATATTTTCCTTATCTGCTATAGAAATATTTTAATAGCACTTTTTTCAGTTATGCTGACCGTATTTCATCTTCGCCCATCATCGTCCTGGAGTTTTATCACAAGAAAATAACCAAGCGCAAAAAATATTGACATTGAAACATTTTTCACAGATCGAGATTTTAGATTTTCGGTCCCATCTAGCCATCTAAACTATTCGGCCTTTGTGTTCTAAGAAAAAGAAAGGAAGGTCCTTCAAAAGGAAACTTTTTTTTTCCAGTTGCCTGGGGTGTGCATGGAATCACAGGCAAATATCACGGTAACACATAGCTGGTAACACATAGCTGGTAACACATAGCTGCTAACTAGGTAAAATCTACAAACAACAAAACTCACTGAGCTGGAGTCTTCTCTTTTGATGTAGTCGTTTGATGTCAGTCTTACTCGATAGGCGAAACCTTCCGAACAGGATAGCTGTCTGTAAAGAACTGAATGTTAACTGTGACTTTGCCTCCTTTTAAAAAGTCCTGAACATGACACAAATAAGTTTGAAACTGACAGCTGTTAATTAAAAAAGTATTATTTAAAGCTCGTGTTACAACTCCCAGCCCCTGCCTTCATCTGTAAAGCTTGGAAACAGCGCATGCCTACATTTGTCTAGGGAGGGCCTTATCATATTTACTTAATGAAAATTTTTTGCCGAGCGAGAAAAACCGGAAATTCGTCATAATAACAAAAAGTTTTAACAAGCGTAAGACCAACCAGAAATAGTTTCCAAAACTCGAGTTTAAGGTTAATCAGGTTGAGCAAAAAAATTATGATCAAAGACCTCGATTTTAAACAAAAGAGAACAAACTGCTACCCGGTGGGGTCGACTAGGCAAGGAATTATTTTTTTCTGTTCAGAAATTCTCTTGATTAGACTTGAGACGTAAAATGTTCTCGAAATTGCGCTCAATTGTCATCTATTGTTTAGTGGTAATAGCCAGTTTCAAAGTAACAATAGATTGATTGATTGAAATAAATTGAAAAATACCAACCCGTCTTTCATATATCTTTATTTACAGACTCTGACGTTAGAAAGATATCAGATTGACATGTTAGCTTGTGTGNTCGAGATTTTAGATTTTCGGTCCCATCTAGCCATCTAAACTATTCGGCCTTTGTGTTCTAAGAAAAAGAAAGGAAGGTCCTTCAAAAGGAAACTTTTTTTCCAGTTGCCTGGGGTGGGCATGGAATCACAGGCAAATCTCATGGTAACACATAGCTGGTAACACATAGCTGCTAACAAGGTAAAATCTACAAACAACAAAACTTAGTGAGCTGGAGTCTTCTCTTTTGATGTACTGAGTCGTTTGATGTCAGTCTTACGCGATAGGCGAAACCTTCCGAACAGGATAGCTCTCTGTAAAGATCTGAATGTTAACTGTGACTTTGCCTCCTTTTAAAAAGCCCTGAACATGACACAAATATGTTTCAAACTGACAGCGGTTAATTAAAATAGTATTATTTAAAGCTCGTGTTACAACTGTCCACACCTGTCTGCATCTGTTAAGCTTGGAAACAGCGCATGCCCAACTACATTTGTCTAGGGTGGGCCTTACAATATTTACTTAATGAAAAATGTTTTGCCGAGCGAGAAAAACTGGAAAAATTCGTCATGATAAGAAAAATTTTAACAAGCGTAAGACCAACCAGACTGATAGTTTCCCGACTAACAAACGTTTTTTTGTTCCAAAACACGAGTTTAAGTTAATCAGGTTGAGCCAAAAAATTACGATCAAAGACCTCGATTTTAAACAAAAGAGTACAAACGGCTACCCTGTGGGGTCGACTAGGCAACTGTTTGTCATGTGTTACCAAGGGAATTTTCAGTTTAGAAACTCTCTTGATTCGACTTGAGACGTAAAATGTTTTCGAAATTGCGCTCAATTGTCGTCCATTGTTTAGTGGTAATAACCAGTTTCAAAGTAACAATAGATTGATTGATTGAAATAAATCGAAAAATACCAACCCATCTTCCATATATCTTTATTTACAGATTCTGACGTTAGAAAGACATCAAATTGACATATA